TGCCTCAATCTTGACTAAGGTACCATTAATGATTTCCATCAAACTCGTACAGTTTTGCAAAATTACCAATACTTCTTTTTCACAGCGTCGCATAGCTCTTTAGCTATTTTCGCAAACAGAAACCCCTTTACTCATCTGTGGTTGCATTGACTGCAACAACCACGTCATAACTAGTGCATTATTTGCACTACACTCTTTGAATGCATGATCGCTTTTGGAGGGATATGTGACAGTCCCTTCCACATGGTCATCCTACAACCATTGATATGCATATGAGCAGATTAAGCTCACTCCATATAGTTCATCTCATCCAACCTCAGGTGTAATACAAAAGCCTGGATGGTGGTCGCTACTACCTCCTAACACTGGAGTCACACTAGAAGAAGAGCCAGCTTCTTTTGAAGTCACCTCTGAGACATATATTTTATCAAACAATTTCTAGGTATATACTCCTCAGAGACAAAACAACAACAAAATGTATAGAGAACCACCTCTCTAACACACAAAGACTACAACGAGAGAGATTATTGTCTTCTTAGATGCATAAAAAAGTTACTACACAGTCACCACACAGAGCCTAGAAAGCAACAAAGTAGACCATACCAAAATCACGAACAATGAAGAAAAAACCGTCGTTGCAGAACCACATGAACACTGAAAAAAACCACTTATCGAGACTCAATCGATCAAAAACAAGTACAAAAATATTCGTGCAAACAAATCCCATCTTGGAATCTCTTCAAAACCCTTCACACCCACTAGGGTTTACACAAACTTTCTCTAGTTTCAACTACACACCCTATAGCTTTACAAACCATGCTCTGATACCATGTTGACTTTAAGAGAAAATCAAAACAAGAGTAAAGTAGAAGAAGAAAAGAAGGAAGAGGAGAAGAGAAAAAGAAAAAGAGATGGGAAAAAGATAAATAATGAAAGAATACTTTCATCCTTCCAACACATTCTATTTATACTAAGAAGTTTCAAAAATTGCATATCACACATAAGCACCCTCCATTATGTAAATAATAACAAATAAGTCCCTGACAACAAATATATGATCACGGTAGATAATGAGCATAAACACGCCACATCAACCAATGTACAGGATCCTTATCCTATAAGATAATTGTCATAATACAAAAACCAAATCAATGAATGCCAAGTTGCACCCTTAATCCTTATTATAGTAATAAATATATCTTTGGGAAAATTACACTATACCGAGGGATACGTAATTTGACTCATTCACATCCAGATCATGAATGTTTAGAATCCAAATTATGCAAGAAGACATTGCTTTGAACCAAATCAATAAATGCCAAGTTGCAACCTTAATCCTTGTGATAATGATACATATATCTTTGGGTAAATTAAACTATCTCCCAAGACATTTGCGTTTATTACACCCCCTCTCCTTGTATTTTCAAAAATGAAGTCCTACTCTGACATTTGTGTTTTGGTAACACTTGCCCCTCTAGTGACAGTCAAAGACGTTGACAATCTAAAACAACTTCAACAACCAAATATTTTGATATTCCATTTTTGCCCTTGAAAAAAGTTGAAGGACAATAATATATTCCTCAATCATTTCGTTATATCACAATTTTACCCTTGTTTAAAGGATGATTTGCCCTTTTATATTCCATTTTTGGCCTCGAAAAAAAGTTGAAAGATAATATACTCAATCGTTTCATTATATCACGATTTTACCCTTATCTAAAGGATGATTTGCCCTTACCTCTGCTTTGGTGCAGCATTTTCAAAACTCTAATATAAACATATATGTACACACAGGAGCGGAGCTACTGAAGGCATAACCTGGGCTATAGCCCAGGTTCAAAAAATATATATATTAGTACTATTGTGCATCAGTTCACAGCCCCGATCCATATGCAATACTACTCTTCCTCTTAGCCCGGTCCATATGCAATACCACTTTTCCTCTTAGCCCAGTCCACTTGGCAATCCTGGCTCCGCCCCTGTGTACACATATATACATACAAACACAATGATCAGTGCAATTTTATTTGCAAATAATCAAGTGATCAATGCTTCAAGTAAACAGTGCCTCCAATTGCTCATCCAGTGCTTTCATCTAATTTGGAAAATTAAGGTTTCTCTTTCTTTATTTCTTCGATCTACTCTATCTTGCATCAACCATTTCCATCAACATCACCTTCCTCTCCTTCGTTTCGTTTTTTTCTTTTTCTCTTGCTTAATCTTTGTTACAAAAACATATATACACTATACATGTATATATATATTGACCACACTTACTAGTATATATACATACGTTGTATATATATCCCATATTTTTTCTGGTGAAATATGTATCATGTATATACTTATCAAAAAGAAATACGTATCACATATATACATGGCATAATCCAACCTTTGTTTCTGAGAGTAACTCAACCTAGTTGGAGATCGAGGAAGAGAAGGGAAAGAGACCCAGATTGAGATGGAGTGTGGAGATGCAGCTAAGATGGAGGCGTGGCTGGCATAATGTTCATACATTAAAGAAATGGGGTATATGGTCAAGTTGTCTATGCATTAAGAAACCATTTCTAGGGCACACACCTAACGCCAGCTCTTCTTCACAAGCTTCTTTGACAATTGATTCTTTGACCCCTCCTGCAACTACAAAACCCAATTTGCAACCATCCAAACCCGGAACCTACTCCCATAATCAAATCAACCAGATTTGTCATCACCATCCTCATCAACACCATTGGCATCCATTCCAATAAACCCTAATCCATCCCCCCGACACTGATCAAATCTCCACTGCAACCACTTTCAGTCCAACCCTATGCTACAACTGTATGTCAATATTAAATATTAAATTTTTGTACTAAATCTTAGGACAAAAGGTTGGCAACCAAAGAGTAAGACCCAGGACCATTATAACCTTTCTCTCTTCTCTCTCTAAAACTCTCTCTCAATCGCCGGCAAGGTCATGACTCTTCTAGCATCAATACAGAGTCCATTTCAATCCAATAGAGTTGTTCCTTTATGCAGGTCTATTGTTTGTAGATGTATATGTTGTATTCATATGTATTAATTTGGTAGAAAACCATTCTTTTATGTGGATTTATATGCTTATAATATATATATAAGTATATGTCTACTGGGTTTGTTTGAACGCTATAGAGAGAAAGAAGATGGTAGAGACAAAATATGTTCTTAGGTGGGTGTTTTAGTACAAACCATTGGTATCTCAATTAAAATAGTGTTGCGAGCGGTATGCATGTAGAGTGTATAACCCCCTATACGTTCTTAAAAGTCCCTAACATTCAATTTTGGAGCATTCAAGGACCCGAATGCTGAAAAGACTAAAGTATCCCTCTCTAACTGAATAAAAAAATAGGTAAAAAACTAATTAAATGTGAAATAACTAAATTGTCCCTCTTTTTATATATATAATATAGGGTTGCGGGCAAGACACACCCTTATGGTATGCATATAGAGTATATAACCCCTTATACGTTCTAAAACCTCCTTAACATTTAATTTTGGTGCAAACAAAGACCTGAATGCTGAAAAGACTAAAGTATCCCTCTATAACTAAATTAAAAATAGGTAAAAAAAAAAAAAACTAATTAAAAGTGACAAGTGTATATATATAAGGGCATTATCGAAATAGACAAGGGTATTTTTGAAGTTTTATATGACCTCAAGCCATTCTTTGCCACATTATTTCAAACTTAGCGGACTTATATACTCAAAATAAAGGATAGGAATGTTATTTGCCCAAAATGTAAACATTAGGGGTATTATCGGAAGCAATGAGGATGTTTTCGGAATTTTATATCTTAACAGTGACTTCAAGCCCCTTTTTTGCTAATTTTTCAAACTTAACGGACTTATATACACAAAATAAGCCCTTCTTTGCTCATTTTTTCAAACTTAACGGACTTATATACACAATTTAAAGGATTAAGGGTGTTATTTGCCCAAAATGTAAACATTAAGGATGTTTTTCTCACTTTACCCATTAAAATAATATCAAGAAAATAATGAGTGCAATGATAATTTCCTAGCTTCTGATAATGGAGTGAGGCGCCAAGTTGTGACAGGAGACTGCAGTGGAATTTTTTTAAATACAGGGGAGGTCACTGTGATTAACGCAAACGCAGGGATTAACCTTTCGCAAAGAAAATTGCTATCAACTCAAGCAAGAGCATTATAAATTGGCACATTTAATATTTTGCAACATCAATCTCTTGAAGTGATAAAATGATATTCTGAACAAGTGATTTGTTACGACTTAAGAAGGTCAAAGCAGAGGAGAATAGGAAGAAGGTGCAGGAGGAGGAGAGAACACTTTCCAGTATGGCAATAGCATTTTCAAGTTGTGAAATAATTATGGGAAATTATTGCATTGGTAGAGAACGCATTATTTTGAACAAATATTTAACACTAACTGAATTGAATTGCTAAATTATTAAATCAACATAATTCTCAAGGATTTGTGGTATAGATCAATAGAACGAAAAAAAATCTTTGAAGTAATAATTTCTTAACAAATTTGTAAAAATCACATATGGTATACATCATATATTATATTAAAAATAAGATTATTAAAAGATGCAAAATCCCAATTGGCCTCATAAACCCACAAAATATAAGGATATTCAAACCAATATCAGAAAAATAAGCACCTTAGTCCACAAAAGCCCATGAAATTCCAAACAGAAATACAAAAACCCTCAGGATTAAAATCGAAACTTCTGACAACGAAAATATTCACTTTTCTGGGCTTCACAGACCCAAGAAATCTGGGATTAGGCATCAAAATCCATATGAAAACATTCGCTAGAAAACCCAAGAAATTTCAGATAATGGAATCGCAAATCATATCATAAAATTAGGGAATTTTCAACTTGGCCTCAGAAACCCACATATAATTCCGATGTGCATGCATGTTAAGATACACCAACCCACTAAAACAGATACACACATGAATGATTAAACTATTGAGAGAGAAATAATCTCACCTTTCTTGACCAGCAGTGTCCCAAATCTGAGCTTTGAGAACCTTACCATCGACAGTCAGACTCTTGGTGGCAAACTCAACCCCGATTGTAGACTTAGACTCCAGATTGAACTCGTTCTTAGTAAACCTCGAAAGAAGATTCGATTTTCCCACACCTGAATCACCAATCAAAACCAACTTGAACAGGTAATCGTACTCATCTTCACCTCTATATCCAGCCATCTCTTTTTTCTTTTCTCCCTCTTTAGCTTCTTCACTTGTTTTCGTTTTGCTTCGTTTCGCCCTTTTCCAAATTTGAAGAGGGAAATAGCAAGGAAGAAGGACTCTTGTCGGGTTTTGCTAGATTCTTGGAAAGATGAAATAATTTATTTCTTTTTGGCCTTTTCCTTTTTCTCCTTTTTGGCAAATGGTGACTTTTTAAGCCCAAAAATAAGTTTACAGCACAATTTAATTAAAGTCCAAAAATAATAGTCTTCTTTTATGCTACGTATTTTATTTACTACGTAATTGGTTAATGTTTTTCGGTTTATTTGGACGGATAAGTTATATGTCAGTACACCTAATGGATTTCAATTAAAATAAAATATTACATTTTTTTTTATATTAGGCCTAATTATACACAATACCTCTAACACGTCAATATTACATTTTTTTTTATATTAGGCCCAATTATACACAGTACCTCTAACATGTCAAATATTGCACTGAATTCTCTTAAAGTTTGCTCGATCATAACATTTTACCCCTTCTTGTGAAAGTCAATGTCCGTTAATGATACATAAGCCATTTTTAAACTTGAAATATCACACTTGATTATACACAATACCTCTAACATGTCAAATATTGCACTGATTTCTCTTAAAGTTTGCTCGATCATAACATTTTACCCCTTCTTGTGAAAGTGAATGTCTGTTAATGATACATAAGCCATTTTTAAACTTGAAATATCACACTTGCCCTTACGATAGTTACAACTTGCAAGGACATTTCAAATAGTAACCTATATACCCCGAATAGATAGACAAAAAAAGCCTTTGCATGACATTTTTATAAACCCACGCTATGTCTACAAAATATTACCTACTTTCTTTCCCTAAAAATTATCTCTCTAAAATTTCTCTATCATAAACTATAAAGGAAAGAAAAATAGAAAAACCTTTTCTTTGTATTAACACACAATTCACGAGTTTACATAGGTTCTCTTTATAAGAGAGAATACACGTAGATACCTAGCTGGCCTATTTAATAATTTCCTATTTTACAGCATTTGACCAATATTCTATTTACAGATAATTTTCTACCAAATATTATATTTATAACTAATAATATTTGGTAGTATTATTACCAAATCTTTCCTTTTCAACACCCCCCTCAAGCTGGTTTGAAGATATCCTCCATAGCCAGCTTGCCAATTAGTCGGTCGAACTATCTTGTAGGAAGTCCCTTTGTAAGCACATCTACAACTTGCTCGGTAGTAGGAATGTATGGCATACAGATTAATCTATTTTCGAGCTTTTCCTTGATGAAGTGTTTGTTTACCTCCACGTGCTTTGTTCTGTCATGAAGCACTAGATTGTGAGCGATCAAAATAGCAGCTTTATTATCACAGTACAATTTCATAGGCAATGGATTAGAGACCTTTAATTCATCCAATAGTCTCTTAATCCATAACACCTCACAAATTCCATGAGCAACTGATCTAAACTCGGCCTCTGCGCTGCTTCTCACTACTATATTATGTTTTTTACTTCGCCAAGTGACAAGGTTCCCTTCAACGAAGGTGCAGTAGCTAGAAGTTGACCGTCTATCAATAGCATACCCAGCCCAATCTGTATCGGTATATGCTTCAACTTGCAAATGCCCACGGTTTTTTAACAATAGACCTCTTCCAGGGATCCCCTTTAGGTATCTAAGAATTCTGTAGACTGCATCAAAGTGTTCTCGTCCAGGTGAATGTATAAACTGGCTAACCATGCTGACTGCAAAAGTTATATCTGGACGTGTATGTGACAAGTAGATCAGTCTTCCAACAAGTCTTTGATACTGCTCTCTATTAAGAACTTCTTCATCTTTAGAATGCTGCAGTTTAAGGTTGGGCTCAATGGGTGTCTCGGCTGGTTTACATCCTAGCAGACTTATCTCACTAAGTAAATCAAGAGCATATTTACGTTGATTCACAAATATACCTTCTTTGGATTTAGCAAACTCCATTCCAAGAAAGTATTTTAATGCACCCAAATCCTTGATCTAGAAGTCAGCTGCAAGTCTCTTTTTCAGTCTCTCCAATTCTTTATTGTCATTACCTGTCAAGACTATATCATCTACATAGACAATTAACACTGCAACCTTACCTTCTCTACTGTGTTTGTTGAACATGGTATGGTCAGCTTGGCTCTGACAGGAGCCACAATTCTTCACAGCTCTCCCAAATCTCTCAAACCAAGCTCTAGGGGACTGTTTGACACCATATAAAGATTTCTTCAGTCTACAGACTTTATTAGGTTCCAATTTTCCCTCAAACCCAGGTGGTAGATTCATAAAGACCTCCTCCTCAAGATCTCCATTTAAAAAGGCATTTTTTTACATCTAACTGGTGTAATGGCTAGCTAAAATTCACAGCCAAAGATAACAAAATTCTGATTGAGTTTATCTTGGCTACAGGAGCAAAAGTTTCTTGATAATCAATTCCATAGGTCTGGGTGAACCCTTTTGCTACTAGTCTTGCCTTGTACCTCTATATGCTACCATCAGCTTTACATTTCACCGTAAAAACCCACTTGCAGCCTACTGTTCTTTTCTCCTTAGGTAAATCAACTATCTCCCAAGTACCACTTATTCTAAGAGCATTCATCTCTTCCATCACTTCTAACTTCCAATTCGGATCATCAAGAGCTTCCTGAATGTTTCTCGGGACAAACAAGTGTGAGATTTTTGAGGCAAAATCCCTATGAGTATGAGAGAGTTTTTCATAAGAAAGGTATTTGGCAATGGGATATTTTGGATTTGGATATTTGATTCGAATACCTTTCCTAACAGCTATAGGAATATCAATGTCTGATGGTTCTTGAGTAGGAGAAACAATAAGAACTGAAGATGAGTTAGGATCAGAATTACCTATGATATCTGGAAGTCCAGTTCCCGGAGATTGAGATTGATCAATTCCAAGAGGAATAGGCTAACTTTGACTCTTTTGATGAAGTATTCTCCGAGTATGCTCAGTATTGGGAACTTTTGTGCCCGGTTGTAGTGATTATTCCCCTGTTTCAGATATAATAATGTTTGGCACTATATGACTAGAATTCTCTTCATTGTTTTCATTGGTTTTATCACATTGTTCTTGACTTTGAATTTCGAGAATAACAGTAAGATGAGGTGAAGGAGTCAAAATCACATTTGGTAAAGGAGTAGGAGATAAATCCCAAAAAATTTCTTCCATCACCTCATTCTCCCCTTGAAGAGAATTTTTGGGAAAGTAAGATTTATTTTCAAAGAAAGAGACATCTATACTTACATAAAATTTTCTTATTTGGGGATTATAGCACTTATATCCCTTTTAATTAGAAGCATACCCTATGAAAACACATTTTTCAGCTCGAGGATCAAGTTTGGACTGAGTATTATTGGGTATATGAACAAAAGCTATGTAGCCAAAAACCTTTAGATGTAAATCCGAGTATATCCTTGATAATGGAAAAGTTCTTTTGAAACATTCTAATGGTGTGCTATATTTTAAAACACGTGAAGGCATTCTATTAATCAAATACGAAGTTGTTAAAACAGCTTCCCCCCAAAGATATTTTGGAACATTCATTGAAAACATTATAGCACGAGCCACTTCAAGTAAATGTTTATTTTTTCTTTCAGTAATTCTATTTTGTTGAGGGGTATCCACACACGTAGACTGATGATGAATACCCTTTTCTTCCAAAAAACTCCCCAAATTCATTCATCAAATAAACCCAACATAAACGGGTATGATCATCTATAAAAGTAACAAACCATTTTTTCCTAGAGATAGTAGTGACTCTTGAAGGTCCACAAATATCACTATGTATTAAATAAAATGGTTTTGAGGAAGTATAAGGTTTTGGCAAATAAGTAGTACAATGACTCTTAGATAAGCAACAACTTTCACAATAGAACGATGAACAATCCAAACCTTTAAATAAAGTAGGAAACAAATGTTTAAGATATGAAAAGTTAGGATGTCCTAGTCTTAAATACCAAAACATTATTTGATCATAAACAGAGTTAAAACTAACACTACTAAGACCCTGAACCTTTTTATTACTGGGAAGTCCCCATCAAAGTAGTAAAGTCCATCTATTATCTTAGCACTGCTAATCTTCTTCCCCGAGCTCCGACCCTGAAATTCATAGTAAGAATCACAGAAAATTATATGACAATTAGATTCTTTGGTTGGTTTACTCACAGACAAAAGGTTATAGGCTAGTTTAGGGACATGGAGAACATTTTTAAGATTTATATTCTCGGATAATTTTATCAAACCTTTTCCTGCAATAGGTGAGAAACTACCATCTGCAATTCTAATTTTTTCAAAACCAGAACATGGTGAGTAAGTGCTAAAAAGATTGGAAAGGCTGGTCATATGATTAGAGGCTCCAGAATCGATGATCCATGGAGTATAATTTAAATAACAAGAAAGGGCGTTAAGTGCACTACCTGTTTGTGCAAGAGAAACATTAGGAATACCAGATGAGGAATTAAATTTCAACAGCTTCAGAAGGTGATCCATCTACTCCTTGCTTAAGGGACTTGTCTCAGCTTCATTGGCAGTAGGAACCGCACGCCTATTTCTGTCACTAGGCTTGCTACTCTTCCAATTCGCTGATTTTCCGTGGATTTTCCAGCAATTCTCTCGAGTATGGCGTGGTTTGTTGCAGAAGTCGCACCAAACCCGTGGCTTTTCTTTAAGTTTCGCTGAAAATTGACTGCTTTATTAGCAGCAGTCTCAGCAACAATAAGGGTAGAACTTTCAACAGGTCCGCTGGTAGTCTTCTTCCCCAACATTACATGTCTACGTCTCTCTTCTCTTCGAACCTCAGCAAACACTTCACCAATTGGAAGAAGTGGAGTCCTGCCAATGATCCGTCCTCGTACTTCATCAAATTCCACGTTGAGCCCAACAAGAAATTTGTAAATACGATGAGGCTCCACGGTTTGTTTGTAGTGATTGGCATCTTCAGTGGATTTCCATTCATAATCATTGAATAGATCCATGTCCTGCCAAATGCGCTTTAATGAATTGAAATACTTGGTGATCGAGTTTTCTCCCTGCCGAATCTCACCAAGTTTTAGAGTCAATTCGTAGATCTGAGACTGATTTCCCAAATCAGA